TTTTCTCTCCAGCCCTGTCCAGATACACCAAAGGGGCAGCCGAGGCGATGCTGCCGTTTACAAAGGGAACTAAATTGGTTTACAGTTGGGAATCTTCCCAAAAGCCCAGGAGTGTAACACATAGACTGAACACCAATTAAATTTGGTCTCGCACAGACCATGGAACACAGGACGTGCGGATGAGAGGCTCGATTCAAGATCCTTGCTGCTGGCACAGACGGCTAAAAACCTCAGAAAAGAACTAACGAGTACTATACTGTTTGTTTTCTGAGAACTTGTCGTCCTTTGAGCTGGATTCAATCTGAGGAATCACAATGGGAAAAAAAAATGGGCAGTTTGGCTGAGGATTTGAGTCAGGATCAGAAAAAAAAATACATCCCATAGAACCTCTCCTGCCCCCCGATCAATGCACCGTTTGGGCCTCAACTCTTCTTTGCCTGGATGGCGGACTGTGATGTTGTCATTCATGTGAATTACTCTCTCTCTCTCTATCTATATATATATATATATTATAGCATCCAAACAACATAGGAGCACCATCCATTACTCTCCAGATGCTTAGTTTTTGCAACTGCCATATACGGTGCATTCCTGCATTCCATTTTGCTGACTGGGATTCATCTTGGACCCTGCCCCCCCCCCAGTAACAGTCGCAAAATGCTTTCCCTACTAAACTTACTAAGAGAAAAAGCACCAGAAATCTCAAACTGAAATCAGGCCACTTCAACAAGGTACCATCTTCAATTGTGATTTGAAGTTTGCAGGTTTAGAACCCTGTCATCTCATCTCATTCATCTCATCTCATTCACTCCCGAAGGCCCTCTCATCTCATTCACTCCCAGTCTTTCACCAACCTGATGTTGAGTTACATTGCACTGGGTTACATCTACTACCATTACTACCACTACTATTACTACTAGACTAGTACACCCAAAAGCTATGAATATATTATATAGTAATATCATTCATATCCTTAATTTATATTGCATCATATGCATGGGCTGCATGGGCATGTCTCGCAGGAGACGCTCACATGGCTCATGGAAATTCTTTTCCCATGCCACGCACAACGTCGAAGAACCTGCCAGGCAGGAGACCCCCCAACCCGCTCAGACTCCCCAACCCCCTCCCCCAGGGCCACCCCCGGAGTCCCAGGACCACCGGTGTCCTGATCCACCGTTTCCGCGGGGACAATCTTCGGAGCACCAATCCCGCTTTCAAAATCTCGTGCGCTTTCTCGTGCTTTTTCTCGTGCTTTTTTCGTGCTTTTTTGGTGCCTTTTCTC